TAATCCGCCCGAATCCCGCGTAACCCTTGATATCCCTCATATTCACCTGATATCATATAATATCCACCTTAATCTACCCAAATCCACCTAAATAATATTATCATTGACTGACTTTCCACCCGGGATTTTATCCATTGCCTTACATTAATCCATTTGCCTTACAATAATAAGAGGGATATAGAAGGATGGGATATCAAGGGTTATCAAGGGGTAAGTAGAATATCGGAGGAATAAAGGATTTAAAGTGATCTAGGGTGCGGATTTAATTGGTCTCTAGTCAACCCCCTAATCCTGTATATACCTACGAGCAATGATATCTCTTAAGACTACTATTAATCCATTAAATCCCCTTAAATCTCAAGATTAACCCTTATATCTCCATATTGCGGATTGTTTAATACTTTTTTATTTATTTTAAAAAATTTCGATTTTCGATTACCGATTTTCGATTTTCGACGTTTTTTTCTGCCGATTTTCGATTTCCGATTTTCGAATTTTTTTATAAAATTTCGATTTTCGATTTCGATATTTTTGGATTTCTTTCGATTTTCGATTTCCGAATTTCGAAGATTTTTTTATTTCGACGCAGCTCTGATGAACACCCCATTCTTAAAAACGTTTACACGGCACCAAGATATCTTCTGTTAATATGTATATTTAATTTAGTTCATTAATAATTATTTAATTCAAAACAATTTTGTTTAGGTTGATTTATTATTTTTATTAGAGTTCGAACTTTTCACTTTGCCGGGCCCGGTATCCGGGTTTTTTTCTTCCAATCCGACCCGGGCCGGGCTTCGGGCTAAAAACCTCGAAAACCCGGAAGCCCGGAAAAACCGATTTTATCAAAATACCCGGTTTCCGGGCTACCGGGCCCGGAAAACCCGGTCCCGGCCCGGGTTCGAACTCTAATTTTTATTTAAAAATTTTAAATGTAAATCCAAATAAAATTAAATAGTCACAAGTTCATTCTCTAAATTTTTTATTCAATTTCATGTTTTTTCATAAATAATTTTATTTACATTTAAATAAAATTAAATATTTTTTTAAATAAATTTATTTAAATCCCATTTCTATATTTTATATTTAAATTCACGAAAAGACAAATTTCTAACAATTCGACCTCGGAGCCGAAGAGATAACTAAAAACCCCTTTGACTATTTTAAATAAAAACAAATGTCAAAATATCCTAATTATTTAATTATATTTTTATTAACATTTATTAATTTATGTTTAGCTAACAATACTTGTCCCTTAAACCCAAATAATTCACAAAACGAAAACAAAAACAATTCTAATAGTTTGGCAATAATGAATATATTAAAATATCTGATAAAGAATTTTACTTATCTTCTTTTTGGAAATTTTGGCAATTTTTGCGGATGTAATTAATTGATAAAAGAGAATATTTTGAGAAAGAATTAATTGTAATTAAAATTATTTTTCTAAATAATTATTTAATTATAACTTACTAATTTAAATGTATAAATGTTTTTAGTTTGTCTTTTTATTTAAATATTAAAAATATCCACCAAAAAAGGAAATCCCTTACATTTTGGAAACAAAAAATTCAACAAGTACTTAAAAAAGAGGCGATATTCAATTCAATAAGTTTAATACAACCGATGATTTTATATTATTTTGTCTCAACATCATAAAATTAAGGCCCGACCGATACGATTTTTTTCGATATTTTTCGATATTAGGTATTTTTTAATATTTTTATACAGAATATCGACAAAGCCCTCCATCCGGGCTCTACATAAAACATTGTTAGTTGTTATATTATAGAGTGCATACTTGCATTATTTAGGCCAAGGCATTAGCCAAATCCCTCAGACCAAAAATCATTCATAAAACACAAATTTATGATTTGAAAAACGATATTGTCCTTCAGAGACAAAAATTTTTAAGATTTGGGAACAAAATTTACAGGAATAAAAATTCCAGGACGCGTTACTTTAATTCATTTAAATCATTAATACTACATAAACAAAAATTGACTTTATTGTTATAAACTCAAATTATCACAATTTTCAAAATTATTTTTTTCCCCGCTTTTCAATAGTTAACACAACAAAACCTGTCTTATTCCGTCTTGAGCAGTTTAAAATAAAAAGAATGTTCCAAATATTTTATCGGCGTCTTTCGCTTTTACCAAATAAAAATAAAACACAAAATTGTTGATTTTGTTGTTGTAAAAATAAATAGAATGATTTTAGGCGCCTCTTTGTGTGTTTGCTTAATTGCGGTTCGTTAATAAATTGTTTACAGTAAATAAAATTTAAAAAAAAATAAAAAATAAATTAGTTTCAATTTATTTTATAAAAATTTATTTAAATTTTAACAATTTAAATTTAATTTTGTAAATACTAGAGAGTTTTTACAAAATTAATCTATTGTTGATCTGTATTAATTCAAATATATTGACGGAGATTCAAGATGTATTTATTGAAACATGGAGGGAGATTAAGGAATTATTCTGTTAATAACCAAATTGATATTGTTATTTAATAGGCAGTGGATTCATAAATATATCTTTTTATTTTGTATCTCGATCGAGATTTGATAATATGTATGACCGTTAATTTACAGAAAATTATGTCCAAAAACAAGTATGAGTTCTGATTAGAGCCTCACAAAACATGTAAATTAAATACATTTTTTGTTTGTGAATATTAGTATATTCTCGCAATAATACATATCTATAGGAGGATCTAATATACAAAATTTATTTTTCCACTTATAAACATAGAATTCCTAAAAACCTACAACGTATTAAAAGAATTTTAAAAATTATTTACACAGCCAGCTAGTCAATACTTTCCAACAAAAATCATAAAAAATATTTTCTCTAAAAATTATTTTCTCATAATTACCTAGTTGTATTTTTTGATCATTCTAGCATCGCCATCCTTCATGCAAAATATATATTAATTACGTTCTAATAAAAATCATAAAAAATATTTGATCAATATTTTTGTTTATATAAAACATTAATTTTTAATTCTTGCGCAGTTTATATTTACTGATTTACTGCGCAATGATTAAAAAAATATTTTTTTGAACAATATCATTAAATTTTTTCTTTTAATTTTTGGTTTTTTGTTATTAACAAAAACCTAATGCATCAAAAAATTACTCCCCATTATTTACACACTCATTAATTAAACCCATTCAATGAGGGATTGAAACAATAATTATTAGGCCCCGTCCCCATTCATCTTATTATTCATTAAAAATTCTACTACATAATTCTTAACAAATTTGTTAACTTTCTGATTCTATACTGAAATTCAAATTTAAAAAACTGAAAGTTTGTGTCAATTAAATTAATTTCAACACTTTTTTTCTTGCAATACCGTTTTAGAAAAAATTATTTTATATTTTTTAAATATTTCTTTCTATTAATCAAGAAATTTTCTGGAGATAAAAATATTTTTAAAAAATTTATTTTCTCTTTTAATTTTCTAAGAGCTAACACAACGATTGTGTTGACCTGCTTAACCAAAACCGCATTTTCGTTCGCTTTCTTGAGCACGAAAACCATTATAAATATATTTATAGGCAGTCAACCACAATCAACGTCACAATTCTCAATCCATCAAAAATCCTTTTAATTCTTTTCACTCCCTTCTATTTCTTTCAGGATTTATTTATTTCATTCAAAAATTCACCAAAATCCGTCCGATTCACATCCTTTCTTTTCTCCTCTATTTTTATTCAAAATCTTTATTTTAATTCAAAAATAAATTTGTTTTTAAATTATATTTATTTAAATATAGGTAATTAAAATATATGCATTTTAAAAATTATAAAAATAATTTAAATAAATTTATATGGAAAACATAATTCAATTGTAGAACTATAAATATTTTCCAATATAGTATATGGATTTAGTATACCCATTTGGAAAAATTTCTTTATTCCTTCGTTATTTTTTAAATTATGGAACTGTTTAGAAAAAACAAAATAAGTAAAGAACGTTAAATATTCACTGTTAGAATCCGCATTGAATAGAGCTATCCAAAACCAAAAATTTTCAGGAATTCGAGACCAAGACTTGAATCTCAGGACCTAAAAAAGCCACAGAAAATCGAGTATTTATTTTGTTGGAGAATTGTCTTTATAAACTTTTCTTCTAATTCTAGCAAAAATAAATTCCAATCTTGTCTCAAAATTATATCTCAGGAAAATTCCATTATACATCTTTTACTTCAATTTAAAAATATTCAACACAGCATTTTTGTTGCATTTTGCGTGATAATTTCCTTTTTTTACTTGCATTAGTTAATCTCTCATGCAATTTTACCCGCATAATTCCGTAATTTATATTTTACTTTATTTATCCAATGCGGTTATTCTGGATTTTTCGGTTAAATTTATTCTCTCGTTAATAATCCCAAAAGAAATCCTGTTTTTCTCTCATAGCTTTATTGTTAATTTTCTTTAATGTTTTAAATATGTTATTATTTGTTTCCGAATTTATTTTATAAATTTCAATATCATTTTAGTAATAAAATATTAAATACTAAAAATACCTCCTCTTATTAATTTAATGGCTGTAACTATTATTTCCAAAAATGTTCTTCCAATGCCAATACCTGCACAATCTCCATATCCAGTTCAATCAATCCCTCGAAGTACCTCTGCTAAAATTCAAGATCAACAGGGTCTTAAAATAAAAGTTGTTATAAGCAAACTAAAAATAAATTAAAGGTAAATTGGTAGCTGTTGCCGCTCTTGTCCGTTATACAAATAATCAGGCATACTTTATTCTTCAACATTTGGACACATCTTTGGCAGAAAAAGCTGTGACTGTTTCTGCACCAGATAATGAAAATCCGCTTGACATGCGAATTGATGCTATTTTTGTAAGAATTACATTTAAATAAACAAGATCAATTCTAAAAAATCACTCGGATTGGAAAATTTGAGAAGGCCAAGGTCTTTAATTTTTAAAATTCTTTTTTAGGACCAGCATCCAGATCGAACATTTATGCCTATGTTCATTCAAGTAATTTTATGATAAATACATAAGAATTTTTAATAATTTATGCAATTTTCATAGGTCCATTACAATCCTGAAGAACGCCTAGTTCTAGAGCATTTGGTTGACCAACTAGCCGAACGAACTTTGGGCCGATACAATTTAGAACTACGTAAAAACATGACTATAGATGTGTTCGATTCTGATTGCGATAATTTTCTTCGTGATAATGCTGGATTTATTATAGCAGACAAATTACGTCTGCAACAGATTACAATAAACACTGTTGAGGCGTTGAATAAATTGAATTTGTCAAAAGGTGAAGATTAAAAAATTGTATAGGATTTAAGAAATGAACGACTGTTGTTTTAAAGGTATTGACCGAAAAAATTAACTCAAAGAATTCTAATCAGCCATAATCCGCAATTTTATAAATATTGCGGACAGTCCCACTTAATTAGTAGAGACGTGCGAGAATCTTGGTCTTGCAAACCTCTTGGGTTTTTTTCAGCTTGGGGTGAAGTCATGGTCTTGGACGCCTTAAAAATACACCCTAAGGACAAGTGAAACAAAAGAGTAGAGCGGTGAATGGTCTATTAATTAGTGTAAAATACTAAGAAGAGGAATGATCAAAATAAATTGAATACAGATATTAAATTATATTTGATCACGGAGAGTAAAGAAATAGTGTATACAAAACTATTAGAAATTTATAATTAAAATATTTTAAAATAAATTTATTTTTATTTTAAGAAATAAAAGTAACAAAAGTAAATAAAGAAGATTATGAATTGTTGTTGGAATATGATGCAACTTTAAGTACTCATAATAGAGCAGAATTTTTGGAATTTCTTTTTGCTAAAAATCGAGTTTATGCCGCGAAATTGGACAATAAAGAAACAGAAAAAGTAAAAAATATTGAAGGAGAAAATGAATTTATTGAACAAAAAGGGCCAATACTTGCGGGATATTTGGTGATTAAATAAATAATTTTTAATCGGTTATCTTTTTATTATTAAAAAGGTTGCATCTAACGAGACAGTTATGTGTATTTATGCTAATGATCAAAATATTGCAGAATCTTTATTGTTTAAATACATGCAGGACAGCAAATTTAGTTTTGTATGTCATTAAAAAGATTTAAAAAAATAAAATCAGAATAATAAATAATTATTATAGTAAATGGATTAAATTTATAAATGAAAAACATTCTTGCACAAAATACATTTTATAAAAAATTGAAGATACTTCAGAATTTATGCTCTAAATTTATTATTGTTTTTTAATTAGTTGGGTACTGGCTGGGAGCAGAGCTGGGTCAGATTCTGATTTCCGACGTTTCTTCCTTCCGATTTCCGAAAAAATTTTGATTTCCGATTTCCGAGTTCCGACTTTTGAGCCATTTCCAATAGAAAGAGTTTTTGCAAAAGTTTAGCCACCGGGCAGGATTCGAACCTGCGACCACCTGCTAGTTGTTGCTAGGCGCTTTCGCTCACTATATGCAGGAGCTCTACCGTTGAGCTACCGGGGCATCGACTAATGCTTTCTCTTTTTCCTTTTTAGATCGTTTATCCCCCGCCTAAGCGTTTTAAATGCTGCTAGGTGAATCATCCTTACATCTCCATCCCTACATCAGACCGGTCCCTCGGTCAAGCGCCATGACCGTGGATCGGCTGGTTCACCCAGCAGCAAGTGGGGATCCCTGTTAGCGGCACCAGAAAGAGTTTTTGCAAAAGTTTAGCCACCGGGCAGGATTCGAACCTGCGACCACCTGCTAGTTGTTGCTAGGCGCTTTCGCTCACTATATGCAGGAGCTCTACCGTTGAGCTACCGGGGCATCGACTAATGCTTTCTCTTTTTCCTTTTTAGATCGTTTATCCCCCGCCTAAGCGTTTTAAATGCTGCTAGGTGAATCATCCTTACACAATTTCCTGCTGTTCCGAGTTCCGACAACTCTGACTGTTCAGACCCATCTCTGGCTGGGAGGGAAGGTAGGGGGCTGTCTAAACAATACCTCAAAAATAACCTCATTAAAACAAAAAATAACCTCATCCAAAAGCAAGTTGATTTTATTCACTTTTATTTGTTTTCAAGGTTAAAATGTGTTGTACATCAAATCAATGGCAAAATCTTCGCTCACTCAAAACACTAAAAACTCGGCCAATATATCGCAGGCACACACGTACAATCCCAACAAATTTAAAATATGACCGAATTTTTGCTTTGAATGTTGGAATGAATATTTTCTGAATTTTGAGAAAGAAGAATCATTTTTAGAAATGGGAAGAGTTTGAATATCAAACAACGATTTGGGGAGAGTTAATTTTAAATTTTTTCGGAATATAACAAATAATTATATATATTTTATTGTAATTATTTTAATGATTATATACACGTTTAATTTTAAATTAAACTTTTTTATCTTGCAATAATTATTTTTTAAAAATATTTACTATATGTTTTGAGATTCCTAGAATAATATTTATTTTATTTTTATTTAAAAAAATTTTTTTATAATTAGTAAGGATTCCAAAGAATTTGAAATATGAGGATTTAATTAAAATTCTGAAAAAACAAAAATGTTTTTTTTTCATATTATTTTAAAGTGAACTTTAACGGGGGGGGGTATAATGAGGTTATCTTAAATAAGAAGTTTCATTCAATCTGCTCTCCATCAACTTCTAATTATCTTACATGGACTAAGGTGTTTGATGTAAGCAGCAACAATTGACCCGACTGTATTAATTTATTTGTTTTAATATGTAGAAGGAGAAGATTCACACTTTTCCCATTTAATATCTTTCATTAGAGGAATCGGCAGGCCTCCAGGGACCGGCTACTCTTATATAAAAGTTATAAATCCCCATAAATTTTTTTCGAATAGTCAAATCCTTATATTAAATCAATTTTTCACTCAATAATTAAAAAAGGGAGAGATTCTAAAATCGCTAGGCGACTATGGAGAGTCTTTATTGGGGAGGTTAGTCTACGTGTAATTTTAAGACTGCCTTGAGAAATTATATGAATTATTAAATGCCTTTATTCCCTCTTCTTTTCATTAATATATTCAATAATTCTTAAATTAAATTAAATAAAAATTTTAAATGTTTAACTATGTTTATAGAAATTTTTTTTATTTTAATTTTTATTTTCAGGAGAGAAAGTTTCTCTAAGGAGAATGACTTCTCCTTTTCCTGGTAAAAATAAAAATTTTTTATATTTTATTTTATTTAAAATTTGTATATTTTTTACAATTTTAAATGCTTTTGATGAAGATTTTGATTATAAAATTGGCAACAAATTTTTGACATGTTTTGTTGAAAAAAAAGTTTTTGGAAGAAAAGCACCTCTTCGTTATGACATTTATAAATTTGACGATTCAAATAAAAAAAGATTTATTTTTGTCCAATGGATAAAAATAAATGAAAAAACAGAAAAACCTGTTATTATGTTACTCAATGAAAAATTAATGAAACAATTATACTCAATGTGTTTTTCAACATTGAGTATAACGGAAATTAGGAAGAAAGAACATACAACAAAAAATGACAGTTTTATTGAGCAGAAAAATGAACAGAAAGGTTGGTCATGTTTAGTTTATTCGTCCAATGAACCCTTACGAGTTCAATGAAGCTTTTTGTACACCACCGACAGTTAGGTAGTTTTTTGGGCTAATTTGTGAAACATGCCTTAGGCAGAAAAAGGACAGAGGGAAGGAAAAAAGCTAAAAATGGTCAGGTAATTAGGAAAGGTGAACCTCGTCTGAATGCCGATAAAGACACAAACTTTCATTGGACCGGAAAGTTTTTATTTGACTCATAAATTTTCATTGGACTTGTAATTTCATTGGACTCATAAAGGTTCAGCGGATGCATAGACAAGACCAGCGCCGTAAGGTTTTCCAGAAAGTCTTTAATAACGTTTATATATTTTGTTTAGCAGTAAAGTCTTAAAACATAAATTTACTTCTTTTGGAAAGTTATCATACTACCTTATTTTTAAAATTAATTATATTTTAAGTTAATACTCTTGCTTATCCCCTAATTTTTCACTTCAAATGCCCGCATTTAAAAGAAAATTTACAAAATGGATGTGGGCAAGAACATCGTTTCGAGTTGTTTTGTAATAATACTAAAGTTGAAGAAAAATGTTCTGACAATTATTATATTAGGGAAGTTGCTGTTACTTTTAGTGATATTAAGTCGTTTGAATATATTTATGAAACTGGTTAGTTTTTAATAAATAAAATATATTTATTTTTCCTGATTAATTCCCCTGGAAAATTAATTTTTAAACCCATCCGCAGGATAGGGAATTATTTAAAAGTAGTAAATAATTCGAGTTTTCACATTTAAACGTGCAGTAGGGCACATATTTGGTGTGGAGAATTATTGTTTTAACCTGGCCCTGGCATGGGGAATTAATCGAGAATGGGAAATTAATGGGGAATTAAAATATGGTGAATTAATTTAGAATGCCCCTGCGGTTATAAACGTATTCTTGACGGTAAAGGCTTGGATGTATATAAAAATCATAAATCATTTGAAACTGAACATTTTGACACAAAAATAGTTTTTGATTTTGTTGGAGCAAAACGTTCTCTCACATCGGGAGTAAGTTAACATAAATTACAAAAAAATATGTTCTATACTTTTAGCCAACAAAAATTATCCATTTATTTTCATTAACACATGGGAAATGTAAATTAGAAGTTGAATATTATTTCAAAAAATCAGAAAAAACATTTAAACAAGAAAATAATGATAAACAAATGTCGAAACTTTTTGAAAAATTTGTAAAAGTTGCTCTCTTGAATAAAAATGCTTTATACGTAGCAAAACTTACTGACAGTAGACTATTGCGTGATAGGTAAATTTTATACATCTTGACAGGTAGTAAACACAACTAATCAACATTTAAAATCTTGTAAAGTTAAGTATTTTAACTTATTTACCGGAAAGCATACAAAATTACCCCCAGAAGTTCCTAACATTTAATAAAAAATAATTTAAAGCACCGGAAAGGTTGAATCAGCCTTTAAACCAAACAAACTACTTTTTGATGAAGCAAAAATGATAGCTCCGTTAGAAGAATTTTTACGTTATAGAATTCGTTATATATTTTTTAATGAAAAAAGGCAAGGAAAAAAGTGGGAAAGTGATTTGGGTATGGATATTATTTCAACAGAAATAATGAAAGGAATGAAAGAAATTTCTGATGTTACAGGTAAATATTTAAATAATTTAAATTAAAATTAAGGATTTGTAGGTTTTAAAGAATTTGAAGAAATTAATTTCAATGATTTTATTGTTGTAAAAAATAAACAGGGGCATTTTAGTGTCAAGTTTATTTATATACATGATGAGGGGACTAAAAAATCAGAAAAAATATTTACAAAAGAGGAAATTAAAAAAAGTTTAAAATTAAATAAACTTGTAAATGATGAAGCATTTAAATTTTACAATTTGATATTAAAAGAAAAGGAAAGTTTTATTGAGGCAAAGAAAAGAGTAATTAAGGGTTATGGCAAACTATTTTGGTTAAAATTATTTATGCAAATGTTTGCTAAATTGCATAAGGACAGAAATAAAGAAAAATCAGTAATATCGAGGTTATTACTAAACATATTTTAGGATTAAAGTGAATAGTATACATACCTTAAACTTTTGTGATAAATAGTTTTTTAAATTTTTTTAATCTTTAAAATGGGCCTAATGCATACAGTATTTATTTTGCAAACCCATTGAGATTAAAAAATAAACGAGTTTCTAATAGAAGCTAATATGTATCTAATATAAGCCCATCTCAAAGTTTCTATTGAAAAATATAAGCCTAGGATTCAATTAAAGCATTTATGGTATTTAGCGTGATAAATCGAAAATGTATATTTGAGATTCGGCTCTTCCGGCTTCCGTCTTTTATTATATTCGGTTTCCTTGCGAATTGCGTATTTTACTTTTATAATCCGGCTTAGAATTACTATATCATTAAATTCATTCTAATGGATAATGAAGATGAAAAAGAGAAGAGTAATAGTTAGAAAGGTGAAGGGAAGAAACCTAAAATAAATACATATATAGAATATTAAAAATAATTAATTTTAATTTTTAAAGTTATTTAATCCCGAGAACTTGTTTGTATGCATTGTCAGGTAATTTGAAGAAATTCGAAATAAGAAATGATGATAATGATTTTCTTTTCAAAACATGGCAAGAATTTGTGAAAGGAGAAAAGAAAACTAAAACAAAAAGTTTTAAAAATTTTGATGAATTATTGGGTAATATGTTTGATTTTGATTGGTTAAATAATTGTGAAGAGAAGGTTGGAATTAATTTAAAGTCGTGGGATAACAATGATGATGAAGATATGACTGATGAAGAGAATGATGTGAATGCTAAGGAAAATGAAGAGATAAATGAAGATTATTTAACGAAAGATGACGGAGATAAGGATAACGGTATGATTGGAAAAGAAGATGGCGGGAAGGAGAAAGAGAATAACAAGAATGATAAAGTGGATGACGGGAAAGATAAAAAGGATGAGGATAAAGTTATTAAATGCGTAAATAAGATAAAAGAAAGCTTAGAAAAAGAAAAAGAGAATTGTAAGTCGCTAACAGAGGGATATGATGGGAACTTTTAGAACTAGGGGGAGTTTAAATTACCCGCATTCATGAACGTATTACAATTCTTATTGAAGGAATAAAAATAAACGTTTAACCTAGGATATAGGCCCATAAGAGTGAAATTTAGTGGGTATTCAAATCTTGATATAAGTGTTAACTGTAAGGCCTATTGAATTTCATATTTTAACTTATGTGATTAATAATAATAAATTTATTTTAATTAATAGCTATAAACAATGAGGAGGAAGAACATATCTTAAATATTTTATTAGAATTACTGGATGAATTTTTAATTGCATCAAGTGGGAAAGAATTTAAAATAATTTTTCCCGATATTTCTGAAGAAATATTTCCAAAGGAAGCTTTTACTAAAGATGAGGTTTTTAAAGCTAAATATATTTCTTTTAAAAAATTTATTAATTTAAAATTTAATTTTAAAATATATTTTCATTAAAGTTTAATTTAAAAAAAATATTTTTTAGTCTTCAATATTTAAAAGTTTGGAAATTATCTCAAAGAAAAGCAAAAAAATTTTTGTTGGAAAAAGTCCATATAATGAAATTAAAAATTTTAACATAAACAAAAAGGAGGCAAAATCAGAGTTTGTTTAATAAAAATTTTATTCTAAAATATAAAAAAATACCTAGATTAAAAACCTACAATTATTTCAATAATTGTTGGATAAATTTAACAATGTCTGAATGGTACGAGCATACTAAAATTTTAGAAAGTATTTTTTATAAAATACAAGTTTGGGTTGATGATTTCACACATGAACACAATTTTGATGCTAATGATGATTTTTATGAAGAAAATTGAATTTTTTACTAAAAGGTGAAGAAAGTTTATAATTAAAAGTTATTTTTAAAAAATTACAAATCCTTATTTATCAAACACTTCTTTGTATATATATTAACTGTAAATATTCAAACAATTGTTTTATTAAAACACCCCCTTATTCGTAAAATTATTGTTTTAACATTTAACTATTATTTTTTTGTCTCCATTTGGGCTGCACACAATTAAAAAAAAGATTCCGAACTCGCAATCCACAACTCGCAAAATTAAAAAAAATCCGCAAAATTTTAAAAAAATCCGCAAAATTGCGTGCAGCCCTGGTCTCCATAAGTAATCCGGGTGGATTCATGAGTTTATTTCATTGCTTCGCATTTATTTTTTTTTTTTGATAAAAAAATTTTTGTCCTTAAAGGATTTTCTTTATATCTATAAACAACGTTTATGAAGGTATTGTGTATCCACTTATTTTTAAATAATATTTTCGCCTCCTCTCAAAAAATTTCTACATTCGTGGATTCTGTTTGAAAATATTTTTCCCGAAAAAAAAGAAAAACATCATATTTATTTTTTTATAAAATTGTAAAATATTTTTTACATCCGAAAATATTTATTTCCTTCTTTTTTTTAATTTTACACATTTAACCAAATTATATAAAACGTTATATTAAATAAATGCCACGAACTAAACAAAAAACATCTTGTAAGACGTGGCTTTGTTACATTTAAAAATATTAACATTTATTCTCAAACATCTTTAAACATTTTAAAGAAGTTTTACAATTCTAATAAAACAATTTTTAAAAAAGCTAAAATGAATTTAAAATATTTAAATTTTGTTTAAAAAAAATTTAATATTACTAACTTTTTTGTAAATTTATTTTTAAGCATAACTTTAAAATTTTTTTCACAAATACTTTTTCTATTTTATTAAATAATTGTTTAATATTAACAATAAAAAATTTAAAAGTACACCCGAACAGATTACATTTTTAATTTTATTTATTTATTAAACTAACACGTATTACATTATTTAAATAAAATCGATTTTTGTTTGTTATTTTCACGTTTTCTTCTAATGTTTTATTTTTTTAAGTGTTAATTATTTTAATTTAAAACAAAAAAATTAAATTAATTTAAAAAATTTAGTCAAAAATTAATTTTTTTATTAATTTTATACTTTGAAATAGTCTCTATCAAATTATACATAATTTAAATTTTCATTTAAATTTTTAAATAAATTATAAAATTTACGGTAGAGCAACCTCAAAATCGTGCTTCTCCTCTCCTTATATTATAAAAAATTAATTTAAGTTAAAGTTAAATTTTTACAGAAATGTCACTAGACGAACAAGAATATAGTAGTCTAGAATCTTCTGAAAGTTCTCCAAAAAATTCCAATGAGATTGGGGACTATATTAATGTAGAAAGAGAAGATAAAGCTGTCTGTACAGTTTGCGGGGATATTGCAACTGGAGTACATTATGGAGTAATTTACATTTAAATATTAAAAATGAACAAAAATATTTTCTTAGGTTGTCTCTTGTAATGGTTGCAAAACCTTTTTCCGGTTAGCTATAAAAATTAATTTTACATTGTAAAATAAATTAAATTAAAGTCGAACTGTGATGACTGGAAGAAAATTTGTTTGTAGAAAAGATGGAAATTGTAATTTTGATAAAAGTAAGTTTTAATTATGTTTTCTTAGATTAAATGAGTTTATTTATCTGTAACTTTTTTTAATTCCTCGGGATAATGAAATGGTTTTTTATATGGTTCAGTCTCTAAATTCTTATCCACCTATACTTCTTTTTAATTATAAATACCCTATTAATATTTTTAAAATTTTTAGAGAATAGATGTGCTTGCCGAGCATGTCGGTTTCGAATTTGTGTAGAGGCTGGTATGAATGAATCAGGTATATGTATAAAATGTTTAAAAAATTTTCAAAAGATTTTTTAAAGCAATTCAACGAATTCCTTCTTCCAATCTAAGTTTTTCTATTGCCCGTAGACGTATTCAAAAAAATAAAAATGAGAATACTCAACAAGAAGAAGTTAATTCAAAAACATTAAATGTATGGGATTTTAAATTTAAAAAATTAAAAAAATTTTATTTAAAGATTACAAATACTTTAATTACAAATAATGAAAGCGAAGTCCTTTCTTTAATTAGAGAAACACTTTGTTTGGAAGAAAAATTGGAAAAATTACGTTTTTCTTATTTTAATCCAAAAGATAAAAATTTAAAAATTATCGAGGCTATTGAAGGTATTTTTTGAAAATTTATTTTGAAAAATTTTTTTATCTGAAATTTCAGAACCAACCATTTTCTCCAACATTAGCAAATATCCAGTAAAAATTTTTAGTTAAAAAAATTAATTTTAAAATTAATTAAAGCCAGTTGAACAATGGCCTCCAACTTTTTTGCCTTGTTCTGAACGTAGAAAGTTTGGAGTGGCTAAATTTTGGGTTTATATGGATCTATACCTTGGAATGTATTTTTAAAAGATAAATAATTATTTTATTTTTTAGGTCTTATGTTAAAACACTTCCAATATTTAAAAGTTTTTCTCTTGAAGAAAAAATAGCGTTAATTAAGGTGGAAATTAAAAAAAAATACTTAAATTTAAAAATAATTATTTATTTAGAGTATTGTTGTACCTAATCAACTACTTACTACTGCAAGTTTTTCATCTCAAATTAATTCGAATGTTGTACAAGTATTGTAAAAATATATTAAAATTTTAAAATAAATTTAAATTTAAGTATCCAGACGGTTCTAGCCCATTCAAAAATAAAGCTAATATAATGCCTTTAGAAAGAGAACTTTCCAAAGTTAAGTTTATATTTAATCATTAAACATAAACTGTGTGAATAAAGAATATATTTTTAGGTGCAGTTGTACCCTTTCAAAAATTAAAACCTGATAGAGTACAAACATCGTTAATTAGAGCTATTCTTGTTTTAAATGAATGTAAATAAATTAAAATTTAATAATATTATTTTAATTCTTGAAGAAAAATTTTATTAGTGGACTATATTTTGTTTTTCCCAATTTGGAATTAACTCGGAAAAAACTTATTTTCCAATGAAACATAAAATTGGAAGTTGGATAAAAATGTTGCCGATTTTGAAATAAAAAAACTGGGATGATTGGAAAATTATTTTTTTCCAATTTCCATTCCAATTAAATTTAAGGCTTCTTTGATTTAAAAATAATTTTCCGATTTATTTTAAATTATTCAAAATTTATTAAAGATTGCGAGGGCCTCTCCCCACATTCTCGTCAACTCATTTCTGAACTCCGCTCCAAAATTTGCCATGCTTTACTAATTTATCTACAAAATAGACATGGACAAGCTAAAAGCGTTAAATATTTTGCTGATTCCCTTCTATTTATCACAACACTTTTTAAAAGACAACAAGTGAGAGAGATTTTATTTTAACAAATTATAACTTCTTTTCAGATTCAAAAAAATTATTTTACTTATCGACGTTATGTTCTCAATAATGCTTCAGAAATAAATTTATTTAGAGAATTTATGGAATAATTTTGAATATTTAATTTGAATATTTTAATATTTTTTTATTTAATTAAATAAAAAGTGTTTTTGTTGATTAATTACAAAATAAAGTAGTTTGTAATTTGTGCTCTGTTTTTTTAAGTATTCTGGGAATTTTTACTTTAAAAATAAAATATAAAAAGCTTTTGTAATGTTGCTGGGGTTGGGGGTTGTTGGAAAGGGAAGGGAACGGTTCGACGGCAGCTCCGGTTATCCTAGTCCACGGAAGAACTAGGGCCGGAGCCCCGGATGGTTTACCCCTAAGTTAAATTACAAAATTAAAAGTAAATTTAAAATAAACTTTATTTAATTAAAAAGTAAAAAGACAAATATATGTATATATGTGGAATGGGGAGAAGGGAAATTAAGTGATTTGAATTAAAGTGAATGTTGTCCGGCTGGCAGGAAAAAGGCCACGCCTTATACCGTTACACTTTAAAAAACCCAAAATTCAAGGTTTAAAATAATTTATTTTTAGAAAAAGATCCACCAAAATTGGCTTTTTCCCAATAATATTGAGATTAGAGGTCGGCGCGGGACGGGATCCACTCCGGGATTTTGCACTTTTGTGATTTGATCCGCACTTTTTGTGATTTGCGGGATTTTGCGGGAGTTAATTTTATTTTTTTGATTAATTAATTGATTAATTTTATTTTTGGGAAAGTTTTTAAAACTAATTCTCTTTTTTCTATACACGAAATCCTTTTTTCTAATATTTTTTTACATATATTGGGAAGAATAAAAATATTTAAAAATAAAAATTTTTATCCAAAAAATCCAACTAATTTGGCTTTTGCCCAAAAAAATATTAAGATAATATGTATTTGCTAAATAAACATACTATCTATAATAATAAATATTTTTTTCAAAGCAGCAAGTTTAGCAGTTTATTCATTTAAAATTTATTATTTACAAATTCTCTTAATAAAAATACTCTAAATATTTAAAAATCAAATAAAAATGTTTTTAAAATATTTTTTAATAATTATGATTATATTTTCTTTACAATTAAATAATAATGCGGTAAAACATTTAAATTTTTAATTTAAATATATTTTAATATTTGTAATTTTAAAATAAAAATCTTTTTTAAGCTAATATATTTACTTAATAAACAAGTAAATTCTACAAGCCCAACAAAGACAAATAATAATCCAAAAGATGAATTTTCAGGAGAAATACATGTTTCAAAGCATTTATTAATTCCAAGTGAACCATAAATAAAGAAAAAAGATGAGAAAATTATTTAAATAAAAAATGTTAGAATTGATTAATTTTATTTTTCGGGAAAGTTTTTTAAATTAAATAATATTTATTTATTGGTATAAATGATAAAAATTGGATTTATCAAAAAATGAAATTTTAGAGTAAATGGATTTATATAATTTCCATTGTTGTAAATAATATAGGGACAGAAAAATTCTAAGGGTTTTTTAAAAAATACACCAGGGGCCGTATTCAGAGAACGAGTTAAGGTTAACTGGTAAGTCTACTCGAGTAATAGAACCCCGAGCTGAATGTTAACACTCATTCAAATAAAATCAACCCAGAACTCGATGATTACCCGCAGCTGCGGGTAAACTAACCCACAACTCTCTTTTATGAAGATCACACAAAATTAGACAATTTAAAATAAAAAAAATCTACATATATTGGATATTGTTCCTCGGTAAATCTGAGCCGATTTTCAAAATTTAAAAGTATCATGAAAGTTAAATTTTTCTGTTTTGATCAGATAAATTTCATAATTTTTAAGTCTCATTTTATAGGTTAAAGTTAACTTAAAAATGAAAAATGTTATCATCTTCGATTAAAACGTGAAGAATTTTTAGCAAAGATTTCAAAATATTTTAGCATCAAGATAAAATTAGTTAATTAAAGATTTTTAAATATTTAATTAAAATATTTTTATAATTATTTTTAAATTTATTATAATTAGTGTTTTTGTGGATTAATTACAAAATAAACTGGTTTGTATTTTGTGATTTGTTTCAAGTATTCGTGTAAATTTTTAATTTAAAAACAAAATATAAAGATCTAAACACCCAAAATTCAAGGTTTAAAAAAATTTATTTTTAGAAAAAGATCCACCAAAATTGGCTTTTTCCCAAAAATATTGAGATAATATGTATTAGCTAAATAAACACACTATCTATAATAATAAATATTTTTGCAAGGCTGCAAGTTTAGCAATTTATTCATTCAATTTATTATTTATGTATTAACTCTTAATAAAAACTCGAAATATCTTTTCTTTCAAATAAAAATGTTTCTAAAATATTTTTTAATAATTCTGACTACCGTAAATGCTGAAATAATTACTCTGGGTAATTATTGTTTCAATATCTCGTTGGAGGGGTTAATTAATCGAGGAAGGATGTGTTGAGTTTAGGGTATATCTCAATCCTATTGAGGCGACAATACTTACACTAGAAATTAATGAATTCTTCCTTCAAATCAATACTCTTTTTTTTTATCCGCGAAATCTTTTTTTCTAATTTTTTAGTTTATTGGAAGGAATAAAGCCATGCAAAAATATAAATTTAATCCAAAAAATCCAAATTTGGCTTTCGGCTTAATAATATAGAGATAATATTTGCTGAATAAACAAGCTATCTATAATATTCAATACCTTTCCCTATTTTTAATTAATTAATTATTTAATTCATCTAATCTAGCATTCATTATCATTTAATAAAAAAACTTTAAATATTCAATCTTTAATTTATTATTTTTTATTAAAAATTAATTATTTTTAAAAATTAATTTATCCAAATAAAAAATAAAATAATTTACTTTTTAAATAAAAATGTTTTTGAAATATTTTTTAGTAATTATTATAATATTTTCTTTAATTCAATTAAATAATAATATGGTAAAATTAAATTATTTTTTATTTTTTTAATTTTTTAATTTTAAATTAAATAGTTTTTTAAAATTAAATTAGGTAGTTGAATTAAACAATTAATTTATTAAAAATACAAAAATAAATTAATTTTTATTTAAATAAAAAATTAATAAAATTAAAATTTTTAAAAATTAATCTAACAAAATAAAAAATAAAATAATTTTTTAGCTTTATTTTTATTTTGATGAAGAAAAAAATACGGCGACAAATCCAACAACAAATACTACTTCAAACGAAGAAAATTCTGCAAAATACTTCTCTTTATTATTAATTCCATCTGATGACAATACAAATACTTCTAAATAAAAAAGAAAAATACGAGAAAGGATTATTTAAATGAAAAAATTTAATTTTTTGGGGGAATTTATTTAATTTTATTTAAATTATACATATTCATTTATAGAAATAAAAAAGGGAATGAGCCAACCAACTGTTTTGGAATCTTCTTTCTTTTATAAGGATTTTCTTAAATAAGAAAAGAGAGAAAAAAGTTCTTTAATCTGATTTCAGGTTAAAAAACGTTCTGCTAATACTTTTAAAAAGAATAAAATTTTAATAAAAATTAGGGAGATAAAATTGGTGACAGAATTGAAAGTATGGATTTTTTTCTGAAACAAAACCTTTTACATAAAATGCAAGAGCTTCAAACTTCTAATAGAGGTAATACCTCTATTAGAAGTTTCGTCCTTCGTCTTTCGCCGATTTACGACTTTTTATGATTTCGTCTTTTGCCTTTCGCCGTTCGCTTTTTCGGGAAAGACGAAATTATTATAAAACCCCTAATATTCGTCAACTCTTCTTATCTCCATCTTAATCCTACAAATCCCCTAATATCACCGATTTATTGATTATGAATGTTATCTTTATATTCGGAACATTTGACAAGGCTTTTGAATTATTTAATCAAAGGTTTATAGCGGAGACTGAAAAATTTCGCCTTTCGTCTTTTGCCGATTTTCGCCTTTTTTGGATTTTCGTCTTTTGCCGTTCGTTTTTTAAAATCACTTTCGGCACACCCCTGTAGTATACATATAATTGGCAAATTTGTACTTTATCAAGAAATGTCATTAAAACTTTTGCCATATTTCATCAGAAAATTAAACAAATTTTCACCTGTAAATTTAAAGTAAATAAAAGAATAATGTAAACATTATTTTAAAATTATATAGAATTATTAATTTAGTTTGTCTCGAAGTAAAAAGTTAAGGCATTTTCGCTAAGTCGGAGTTAAAATTTAATGGAAAGAAACTTAACATATTATTAATTTTCTTAATAATTTTTTTTATAATTTTATTTAATAATTTTTTTTTATTTTCATTTCTCTTTTAAATGCAGGTGAAAATTCTGAAATAGACTACCGTTTTCTTTTAAATATTTAAAAATTTTGTCAGAAATTCTCTTTTACAAAAAAGACTTCTAACTAAAAAATGTCTTCCGTTTTACTTGATATTTTATTTAAATTTGATTATTTTGTTTGTATATTAATTGGGTTTCCTTTAAATATTCTTCTGATTATTCTAATTATTTTTAAAACGCCAAAAGAAATGAAAATACACAGTCGAATTCTGATACAAAATTGTGTTTTGGATATTTTAATGTTGATTGATCAAATGTTTCTTCAAGCGGTAAATAAAAAAATAAACCAGAAAGTTAATCATAAATTTTAAAAAATCATAATTTAAAGAGAATATGTAAGCATAATTTTTAAAAATAAGTATAATAACAAAATAATTTTTAATTGAAAATCAGAATTAAATTTTAAAAAACCATGAGTGAACAAAAATCAGAATTTTAAGAATAATAGTGTAAGGTGATTACCTAGCAGCATTTAAAACGCTTAAGCTGGGATTAAACGAAAATGAGGAAAGAGAAAGCATTAGTTATAGAGCATTTGCATGGTTTAATCGAGGCGCGAGCACTCAAATCAAATCCTGTCCGGGGGCTTAACTTTTGTTAAACTCTTATCATAGTAGAAAATTAGTAATTTTAAATCGCTTTCTAATACCAGGATTAATTTAAATATTAAAAAACATATAATATTTAACTAAACAATTTAAAATAAACACCAGAATTAATATCAATTTTAAAATTATTTATAGTTTTATATAACTGATACAGAAGCGAATACAATTATAATTTTTCCCAATGGAATTTTGCTTTGTTTTATGAAAGAAAATTTTAATCCGTTTATCTCTTATCTTATTTTTTTTGTTTATCAATTTATTTTTTATTTAAATTTGCATGGATTGTGTGTTCAATTTATCTATAGATATTTAGTTTTGAACAAGTAAATAAATTAAAATAATAATTATTAAATTATTATTAGGAATATAAAAATTACTTTTCGTCGTTATTTATTTATGGTGGCCATTGCTTTATTTGTGCAAACATTTTATTCTTTGGATCTAATTTTCTTTGTAATGGCATATTCAAATGGAGGTATTAAATATTTCGTTAATTTTAACAAAACATGGCCATTTACTCAATATGAAATGGGAACGGTTATTTTTAAATTAATTTACTTTTTTTAATTTTAAAACAAAAATATGTAGGTGAATATTCTAACACTATTACCTATAACATTAATTGAAATACTTGCATATTTAATAATATTTATTTGTGGATTCAAAATGGTTAGATATGTCAATTTAAACACTAATCTTGATGGAAATTTAAAAAGATTGAATAAACTTTTAACAAAAGTTTTGATTATTTTGGTAAGACTTAAAATATTTCTCATAGTAAATTACCTGTCATCAGTTGTAGAAAATATTTTAATTAAAGATCTCTCTAATATTTAGTATTACTGCCATTCTTTATTTCAATACCCTCAAAAAATTATTTTAAGAGAGTTCATTCTATTAAAAATATTTTTTATTTAATTTTTAGGCTTTTGTACCCTTTGTTAATCAAGCTGGAATTTTATTTTTTATAATTTATTCAAAAACAAGCAACAATACAATAAATATTATTAGAATATTATTTCACATTTTATATCATTTAACACCTTTATTTAACCCAATTATTTGTATTTTAACAAACACACCATATCGAAATGCTATTTTTAATCGTTCACAAATAAGTCCACAATAAATTTATTAATGCCCAAATGATTTATAATTATTTTTGTATTTTTACTCAACTTGTTTTTGCATAAAAAATTATTTTTTTGAAACGTTTACTGTTCAAATAACTCACTGCCCATATTTAGCTGCCTAAATCGCACGCTGCCGAAATTACCAGACATGCTTATTTTACTCTAATTATCTACTAGAGAATGATTTCAGGCTTTAAATAAGTAAAAACACCTCTGTGTGTTGTTGTTTATTTGCGTAAATTTGAATTTACACATTTTGAGGATTGTGTTTACTTTTTCTTTTGTGAATTAGTTGAATTTATTTAAGAAAAATATTATTTTTTTAAATTTATGAATAAAAAATATAAAATAATTTCATAATAATTAAAATTATTTATCTGAGCATGCAGTAGTTGACTGCAACTCCCTAGGTGTATTTGAGCGACTCTGATGTGGAATTGGTGAATGAGAAGAAGGGGCATTTATGAATATCATTTGTTCTGGATATTCACTAAAAAATATATTTAATAAAAAATAATAATTATAGTATTTATTACCTTCCCCTTCTTGAACTATACATTGAAGCATTGTCAAATGAGAATGAAGTAGAGAGGTAATTTCTGAAGAAAAATTATAAATTTTCAATATTTTTATTTAACTTGCCTGTAAGCACTGGGTCTACGTGGTTGTCTTTGTTCACTAAAAAATAAATTATAATTATTTTTTATTTTTATTTATACCTAAGTAAATGTTCATTAACAACTAAATCTACAGAAGACTCCGAACGATCATGATCTATATCTAAATCATCATCTTTAACAATAACATAATATGCTGTAAGAACACAGCCACAATTGGCAATTATCTAAAATATATAAATTTATTACATAGAATAAATCCAAGTCAGATTTCGATCAAAATATACCCTATACCGGGTTAAATTTGTTTGGCTATTGGATGGAGAGGGGGCAGCCAAGCTATACCTTTCGATAACAGGTACTCTCACTTTAAATAAATTTTTAGCCTCAAAGGTTTATCCTATAGTGTGTTTCAAATGTAGGTAAACATAACTAGATAAAACAAATTTCTCAGAAACATTCTTATAATCAAATATAATTTAAATTGAATATTCTATTTATAGATGTTTCAATAATGCTTTTTAATTTCTTTAAAATAATTTTTGGCCAATTTTATACAGAAGACTTACGGTGGCAGCAGAAAATAAAGGTTGTAAATGACCAAATAAAATAGCAAGAAGTGTTACTTTATAAAATTTGAATAATTAATCAATTTTAATTTAAAATTACAAAATTTGTTTGTGCCAAAATGTGTAACAGTAAGGCTTTAAATTTTAAATTAAAAATTATTTTTATATAAAACCTTAACATAGTAACAGTACTTGTAGGTAATTGAACAACAAGAAAAGCTATTGTAACGGCATAAATAAGTATTTTTGTCTAAAAATTCGGTTATGAATTAACTTCAGATTTTCATTAAATTACAAAATAATTTGGAAAAGAATGAATTATTTTAAAATATTCCCCTTCCCTTCCGCACCTTCCCCCCATCCTTCCTCAAACTGAAAACTGTTGACCAAGATTAACGGCTAATAAGCGGCTTGGGAGGAAATAAAAATTATTTATTAACCTGATCACGTAAGGAACGTCCAAATCGATTACTGGAAAAATTAGAAAATTATTTTAGTTACATAAATTAATTTACTGTTCATCTGGCTGACAGTCTATAACCCTTTCTCTATTGAAACTGAGAAATATTTTTAAATAATTTTTAGAAATTTTATCAACCCAATATGAATAAGAATGAGAGCAGCTCCAGGTAAAATAAATTGAGCAAAAAGATCAGCTAATGGCAGAAAAATCTTTAAATTTTTTTATAAAATATAAACTAAAAAGGATTTTCCAAAAATAAAATATTATTAAATTTTTATTTTGATTTTTATATTATATTTCTTAAAAAGATATTTATTTTCCAAATTTTGAGTTGAAATTTGAGTAAAAATATGAATCTTGACTTTTTTGACTAAAACTTTTGAGTAGATTTTGATTTTGAATGACCAATTCATTAATAGAATTAATTTTTAAATTATATAATTTAAGAGAATGACCTTCCAAAATGCTCGCCCTAATCGTAAAAATGAGACTAATGATCCATCCGTAACTTTAAAAATATATTTAAATTTATAAATTTAAATTGATTAAATACCCATGCATCTACGTGCCCAATATGGTCCAGGCTCCGTATCTAGAGGTATTTTAAATAATTTTTCAACTAAATTATTTTAACAAATATTTTTTAATTTACCCATGCAAAGAGAGTAAAGTGCAACATCGTGTTCAAAGAAACGTAGTCCTCCTAGAATAACACTCAACAAAATAACAAACAAAATGGCACGAGAAAAACGTTCAACCTTTTTTAAAATATCATGTTAAATGAGAAGAATTGTTTAAAATTTTATTATTTAATTCTATTTTCTTTTTATTTTGATCTGAGAAACAATTTTTTGGAATTATTATGGTTCTCAAAAATGATTTATTAAAAATCTCTTTAATTTCAGTTAAATTTTCAAGGTAACTTCAATTCTATCGAGATTTCCCGATAAATTCCTATTCACTCAATTTCCATCCAATTTCCTTTCAATACGTTCAAAAACAATACATATTTCCTTCCTCTTAAAAAATTAATAAACTAACAGTTCTCAATTTTAAAGTGTTTCGATGATATTGAGTTAAAAATCTAGCTCCTGCGAGGATTACAGAGCAAAGAGTAATTAAAGTATCTGTTGTGTGTGGAATAACCTTTATTTTATTTAAAAATTTATTTTGAATATTTATAATTATTTATTTTAATTACTTCCATTGTATTTCTAAATAAATGGCACATTGCTATACTTTGATTCATATGTCTAAGACCGTCACCTAGAACGTAATACCAACACTGAAAATTTTATTGAAAAATAAAAAGGTATCATTGTCTCCAATAATTTAATAAAAATATTTTTCTTTTCGAAATCATGAAAATTTAAAATTAAATTTTATTCCTAAAGGAGTATTTTTAAAAATTAATAATTTTACGCTAAATGGAAGTGGTGCCAAAAGTGACATCCAGGCACAAAAGCATAAAAGTGAAATTAGTTGATATAATGGATTTGGCTGAAAATATATTAGAGTCAATAATTTATTTAAATATACACTAACATATCTAGACTCTCCCTCACGTTTTTCACGTTTACTCATTCCGAGCATGCTAAAAATATTTTTTTAAGATTACAAGGATTAATTATGGTAAATAACATTTTAAAACTAATAAGGTATCCACACTTATAGCTAAACCCTAAGGCTAAAAGATTGTAAATTAGCTGGGGATATCCATCATTGGGAGATAGCTTAGGTAGACTTCAACTCAACGGTTTTAGGTAAACATTACCAAATTTTAAAAATATGTATATCTTAAATTTCGGTTAGGTATTTTATTATGAGATCCGACTGTCTCTCTCCCTGTTGTTTTTTAAGAATTAAATACCCACACGGCACTCAAAGGTGCAATCATTACAAGGACAAGCATTGGATAAACAAAACTAAAAAATTTTAAATAAATTTAAAAAAATTTTTTTTGTTAACCCATAAATAGCTACGTGTGTCCATCCATTGTTTAAACGTCCAAACATAAAACCTACATTTGCCTTAAATAATTTAATATAATTTTCTTTGAAATATTTTGATGATTACCGAAACAAGGCACTTTCCTGTAGGAAAATCGTAGAAGAATCCTAAAAAAAGGTGATTCAGAATTTATTAAAAAGAATTTTTATTCTTTTGTTACCAAATAATTAGATAATATAATTTTGGGAAAAAACAAAATTTTCTATAGATTTCAATTTTTACTAAATCCAAAACCAATTTTAATTAAATATGTAATTATAACAACAGACCAGTCCCACAGCAACATTTTGCAACCTAAAATTAAATTTAAATTATCTCCAAATAATTTAATAAAAAACTCTTTGTTCTTCTGTTGCACACTGATCTGAAGGGAGTATAGAAATATTGTGAATAGTTAAATCTGCATCTCCGTCTATTTGGACTAATTGCATGGATTTCTTTTAATTTATTGTTGCCAAAGTTTGTAGAATTTTTTAGAAAGTCAAGCATTGATTGGTTAAAGCAATGATAATTCTCTGCCTTAAACTAAATGATGAAATTATTTTTTGGAGAAAGAACAAAGATTTTTTGAATTTAAAATAAAATATTGTTTTAATGAGAAGTTTAGTTTAAGGCAGAGGTCGTTAAAAATAACAAAAGTGCTGTAAATCGGAATTATAGGAAATCGGAACTTTAAGGAATTGGAACTCTGACTGACTTGAGGTTGAATAATGAGTATAATATTAACTAAAATTTTGTTAAGCTAAAGGGTTAAGCTAAACAAGTTATTTTTTTAATTATTTAAAAAACTAAATATTTATGAATATTTTAGTGTTCTAGTAGCTTCTAAAGGGGTGCATTTTAGAAAAATTTCTTTAAAAAATTAAAATATTAGAAGCAACCTGAAATTCATTTTTTAAACAAAACATTTTGTTGAATTAAACATTTAACACTTTTTATTAAAAAATATATTAATATTTTCATTTTTCCTCAAATATTACTTAATAAATAAATTATTTAAAAGTAAATAATTATAATTGATTAAATTTAAAAAAATTATTTAAATGTTTGCGTGCAAAAAAAAGTGGAAAAATGAGAGAGAGGTATTTAGTTTATTTATGAAGGGGAAGCCTATTTGTTGAGGGAAAAATATGGATAAAAAGCTAATGGATCCCAATTAACAAATTGTGACATTTAATCCCAAAAGGATTCGTTTCTAAATTGATTTGGAGAATTTGTTTTTTTTAATTTTGTGAAAGCTAAAAATAAGTACATTTTAGTAAAAAAGATTTGAATAAAAATATTTAAAGAAAATTCTTATATTTTTTAGAAAATAAATAGTTAGAAAATTATTGGTTACTAAAATATGTGAATGTGCCAATTATTGAAAATTTAATATTTAAAATTATCTTCTATTTTTTAAAAGTACATACATTTGGCTAATTGTAAAATTAAAGGGACTGGTAGATTTTGGAATAAATTTTTTTGGTTATTTTATTTACTAAAAAAAGATGATTGTCCTTGAGTTATTCTTCAACATTTTCCTGAGCCCAAAGAAAAGGCTTGATATTTCAACTCCCATTAATTAATAAGGAAAACAAGAAATTATCCATAATTATCTATAATAATTCTTATTTATTTTTTTTATTCTCTGACCATTTGAAAGAACACAAACTGTTTCTCATTATTATCTCATAAAATTTTTTGAAGAAAATTATAAGGAAATAAAGTAATCGGAAAATGCAATTTTTCCCTCCATTTTTTTCTCTTTTTTTAAATAAAATCTACATTTTTATTCACTTAAAAGGCTTAAAAAAAGCTGTTAGTTTTGACTGTTTAGTTCTTTAATATTTTTAAATAAAATGCAAAAATGGGGAGTTCATTAGAGTTGGTTGACTGGAAATGTGTTGGTAGAAGAAATGTTAAAAATATATTTATTTATTTTTTGTATGTGAGGGAGGGATTCAAATAAATAAAAAAAACAACCCTTGGGGATAAAACAAAAATAAATAGAAAAAAAAGCAGTAAAATTATTATTTAAATAATCAAGATATTTACTGATTTAAAAATTGTAATGTATTTTTAATAAAAAATTAAGATTTAATATTTAAAGGAAATGGAATAAATTGTGTGTACTTAGTTGGTGCCATTGAAATATTTCTTTTTAATTTGTTCAATACATAATAATTTAGCCTTTAGTTATTTGGATAACTAGAGGACAATTAATTTCAAAAATTTATATAAAAATATCTTCAACTAAAAATTTTTTTACAAAAATTAGAATTAACTTAATAAATTTTGATATTCACGAACAATCAATTTATATGAATTGCTTAAAAAAATTAGTAAATTTTAGAATCAAATTAAGAGATTAATGAGTATTTGCTAAATATTTCGAGTTTATTAAATTTTATGGTAATTTTGAAGTACCTCCTCCCAATCCTCGCTTTTTTCCTTCTCAAGGCATTAAAAATGGTCAGTCTATAAAAAATGTAGAACACATCGGGCTGTAAATCCGACTTGATTCGACCGAGATACAAACAGCTGAAAATTGAAAAACCACTTCAAAATTACCAATTTTATTTGTGCCAATTAATTAAATTAAGAAACTGAAGATTTGTTTATTAAAAGAAACTAATTGCTGTAAATTAAGGCATTTTAAGCTAAAAAGTAGAAACTTTTGTGGTAGTGAGTACATTTTAATTGTTTAAAAAATCAAAGAAAATTTTTCATTCCTAGTATTAAGAAAGAAAGTTTCACACAATTTTATTTTTTGTGTTTTCATTATTTATTTTTAGAAAATCAGATGCACTTTTTTCAATTGGATCCTAAAATAAAATAAAATTTGTTTGTTTATAACCTAAACAATCTAATATTTTTGAAAAATGCCAAAATTCATGAAACGTTCATTTTGATATCATGTGAATATTTTTAGCGTTAAATATTTAACAGACAAACAAACATTTTGCACAAAACAAACATTTTTTAAGCACAAACAAAAAATGGAACCGCACAAAATACATTTAATTCACAAAATACATATAAAAATTTACCAAAAAAATTTTTTTAGAAATATTTGCCAACATTTATAATTTTCTCTGAAAATATTTTTTCATCGAACAAAAAATATACCTAAATAGACGATAAAATTAATCTTTAAATAATATTTATTTTAAATAAATATTTTTATTCGTTTTTTTTTATTTTTATAAATGCTTTATTTGTTTTTATTAAAATTTTATGTTATTGCCGGTTAATGTTTGGATTTTTTAAAAAATATCTTTAAAAAAATATTTCTCTTAATTTCAATAGAAAAATAAATTTTAAAATTTCGAATCACTAATAAAATTTGGAGGAAAGGGATTTCATATTTGGAGTGATTTTGTCTCCACTCTTATTCTCTCCTTCTCTTATTCTCTGGCATTTTTCCCTGATTTCTCTTATATTTCTATTTATACTTTTGTTCACCTATAATTTAGGTTTTTAAGAAAAATATTTTAGAATTACTTTTATTTAATTATTTATAATTTAATAATTTATTTAAGGAAGACTCATATACACCTTATATTTAAAATAATTTTAAAATTTTAATTATTTTTTTTCTTTTCTTTTATTACCTTCTTTTGTTACTTTCTTTCCCTTCCTCTCAAAAGCCTTATCGTTGACGTTTTTTATGTTCGCCTATAAAGATTATACATCGGGATCATTTTAGTTATTTCTTGTATAAATTTGGTCGAGATCTTTAAAGAATACAAAATTATACTTTTTTTTTTAATTTTTAATTATTGTCGAGAATAAAATTATTTTTACATTAATTATTTTCTTTTCTCATTTTTTTCCAAATTAAAATTCAAAAATTCGGGTTTTATCAATACCCCCATCCAGACCATCGGATCCTGAAATCCGTAAATTGAAATTTATTAGTTTACAACTCTAATGAGAATATCTGGTACTTTTCCGTTAAACGACCGCAAACTGAGTGCCGGCAAACTTTTATCGGCTATAACTTTCTGCTGCTTGATCCAATATAAATAAATTTTATATCATACGCAAGCCCTTGGTAAGCGTTATCTTTTTTCCAACTTGTTGGACAAGTGTGATCATCCATTAAAAATTAATAACTCGATAAATATGAAAAACATCAAATGACTGGACTTATCGGGTTATAATTTTTTGATAGTGATCAGATTTGAGTTATCCTATTAGAAAAAATATGCAGCTTATCGAGGCTTTTGAATGATATAAAATTCATTTATTGGATCAAGCATCAAAAAGTTATAGCAACTAAAAGTCGGCTGGCACTCAGTTTGCGGTCGTTTAACGGAAAAGTACCGATTATCTTCTGATTATTTATTTTAAATTTTAAATTTTTCAACATTTGCTGATGACGAATTATATGTATGTATATTTTTAATTATATTTTGAAAATAAAAATATTTTTTATTTTACCTTTATCTTTTAAATTTTTATAATTTTTATTGTAATTTTTCTTTAAAAAATCTTATTTAATATTTATACATAGCATCATTTTATCTAACTTTTTATTAATATAGCATCATTTTATTTAACTTTTTAAAGATTGTTATTATTGTATAGATTATACATCAAGACCATTTTTGGCTCATTTTCTCTCTCTTTTCTTTCTCTTTTCACTTTTTAAAAACCATGAGCACAACTACAATTATTTCTTTTTCTATTAAAATTAAAAAACATTTTTCTAAAAACATTTTAAAAAATTCAAACATTATGCCAAACACAAACATAATATTTTAATAAAAGCTAATAACAATATTATTTCGTGGCTCTTTTTATTAAATGAGTTCATACATCAGATCATTTTAGTTCACATTTTTACGTCTATACTTTCCTCTCTCTCTCTCCCTCTCTTTTTTTATTAATGAAGAATCCTGGGCATTGAATAAATTTATTTAATTATTGTCAATGCTTCACATTCCCCTCACATAACCTCTCTCCATTTTATTTAAAATTATTGTTTAAGTAATAGCTGTAATATTTATTTAAAGTTTTTTTAATTACCTAAAAATCCTATTGGAATAACATATTGAATGTCTTTCAAAGCATAATTCTTTCTTTACTTGTATTAAGAAGGCTTTTTTAATAAATATCAAACTAGTTGAAAGATGGATATATTAATATTCCGACGAGGAATCTTTTGCCTACGTTACTACATATGGTGTCGAAGTTTTTTAAAGAGGTTTAAAGAGGTCTTTAATGAGGTCCTAAATATGTGGGTTTCAAAAATATAAACATATAATTCCATAATTAATTTGTTTTTATGTCCCCCTCCCTGGCAATTTTTAATTGTAATCCAGAATTTTGAAATTAAAAAAATACATTTTTTAAACAACTTAACCAAGCACTAATATAATATTTTAACAAAAGCTAAAACAAATATTATTTCATGGTTCATTTTATTTAACGAGTTCACACATCAGATCATTTTAGTTCATTTTTTAACGTCTATGTATACTTTCCTCTCCCTCTCTTTTTTTATTAATGAAGAATCCTGGGCATTGAATA